GAGAAGGTGACGAGTAGGGAGACCATGTGAGTTAAACATTCCAAGCCTCGGCATATTCTCGTTGGGGCAGCAGCAAAGTATACGTGTAATCGGTCAGCCGCATATTCTTCATTATCCATATACCTAGTATGCTTGTGCAATGACTAATTCGGCAGACGTCCAGCTCTTATCGTAGCCATCGGTATGAAACAGCGGTGTTAAACTACACATAGTTGCTACCATTGTTACCGCACTCGCCGGCTGAAGAAAAATTTGGAGACTGTGACGTTTAAGGACCATGCGACTCGTCGTACTGCACCTACTCCGCTTTTCAAGTGAGAACACTGCAAATGGCTGCTCTCGGCGCAGCAAAAGCACTCTCGCTCTACCAATGTATGACAGTGCGACGGTAAGTCGGGCCAGTTGGTTAGGGTCCAGTTGGTTAGGCTGTAAGAAAATTCACGATGTATGACAGTGCTCCCGAACCTGTTCGACCACAGAAACACGCCGGCTCTGACGAGAGCACTTTAAGCGGGCTTTTGAGTGCTCCTGCTCTCCCAATGGAATTCGCCATAAGAGTAACATGCGGCCGTAAACGCAAATAGGCATAAATAGCTCTGGCTTTTTTACTTGTTGCACCATGTGTTCGCAGTGAGAATAATGGCGATGCGGATTGCACCACCTCATTGTTTTTGTCATCTGACTTCGATTATTCAGCTTCGCGCTTATTGCACTCCGATGATCATCCGAGTTGCGTCTGGGTTGTGGCCAAATATGACCAAATTAACAAGCGCTTGTTATAATAACGAAATAGCGTTAAAGAGCTCGTGTCGCAGAAAAACCGCTGCCTGCATTGGCCCTGTTGGTTGTGGGCAAGAAATCGTCTGTGCGTCTGTGACCGAAAAATCAATTTACGTAGATAACCGCGTGAGGTAGCTACTTGTCCACGCGTGCGTACGCGATCTTACTGAAACATGCCGCGCATTCGAAGAAAAAAAATGTGCTCAAAATCATGAGGCGCGGTTGTTCTTTTGCCCTGCTAGCCCTCCCTGCTTAGCTTCCAGTGCTTTCGTCGGGACGAAAAAAGAGATAACGCAATTGCAGCTTGCGACAAACCTTCGTAACTCCACTCGCACTGAACGGATTGTTAAAATTTCAGGCGGCGTTGAATTCGCGAGACAATAAGCTCTTCTAGTGAGTTCATTCTATGGTTACTTGAAAAAGTGTTTCAGGGCCCTTTTAACGCATTTCGTTCGACAGCTGTCACGACAAAAATGAGCCCATTCGGTGATAATAGCGTGCGCTGGTCCAATCTACTGTGTCCGTGTTTGTGTGCGTGTGTGTGTATGTAAGAAAACATATGAATAAGTATGCACTTAGCGGTTGAAGGGTGCACTAGGCGCCTGATTTTACTATCGCTTTCAACTCTTGAAAGCGAAGCTTAAGGGTCCACCACTTTTTTGTATATATAGTTCTGAACTGGAGAAGTTGCCTAAGTTATTAAGTTATTAAGAATTAAGTTATTAAGAAGCGTAAGATTGAGGAGATTTTCCTGTATAAGTGTATCAAGCTGGCGATGGTTGAACTCAGTGGCCACCAAGCACTCGGATAGCTCGGCTAAACTAAAGGCTCCCACGCGTCTTTGGGTAGTGCTGGTCATGGCACTAAGCTAATTACTAAGCTTGCCCCAAATGAATGACTTGAAAGAATGATGATGAATATTAGGAATGATGACTCTTTAATACAAATCGCATCCTTGCAGCAACATAATTGCTTTTATAAATTTCGTCATATAGAAACTTCGATTGTCAACAATAACAGAACTGTATACGGTGACCAAATGCTACAGTTTTGTTTACTGACTATTTTAAATTGGTTGAACAAAGAAAACGTTCTCGATGTATCCAGTCTGTCGCTGAAAAGCCTACGTGACATATTCGTATGATTGCTTGTGTTGCTGTAGGTTCACCTGTTGTTTTCTTTTTGTTTATTGCTGTCTTCAACATTGAGGGTATTTTCCCCCCGATTTTTCAAATGTTCACACAATACCCTTGTTCATAATTTCTTACCACATTTGCTTACTGTTTCTGCTGTTCTGTTCACGCATTAGGTATACGGCATGGCTTGAACTGCTATAACCGCTCAGTGTGTGAGGTAGCCAGGTTCACCTCAAGCTGCTCAGTGCATCTTTTTCACCTGGTCTCCTCGCAACCTTGTGGCGCAATAAGCTATATTCTATTCCATTTCAAAGTGCATTGCCTCAGTTACTCGTCCCTGAACTATTCAGTCACCAGATATTTATCGTAAATCGCCTTACCAGTTCAGACGCGTGCGACAAGGCGACACTTGTCTACAGGGCAATGGCAAGGCTGGCCACGATGAGAATAGATGTAAATGCCGTGTGGCAACTCGTTGGTCGCACTCACTGGTATAAATATCGCTCGCCTTAAGTAGCTTTTGTGTGGCCTTTCTCATGTGATTTGTGCCAGTTACAGGTTTGTCATCCTGTAAGTACTGCCATTGCGTCTTGATTATTCTGCTGCATCATGCGTGTAGCGTTAGTAGTAGACTATCATGCTGCAGGCACCGGTACTACTTCAGTGTGCCATCGCGTGCCAGCAACGCGCTAAGATATTACCGTGAGTGTCGTTCAAAAATGTTGGATGAAAAAAGGTCACAGTTTTGCTGCAAAGGCGAAGCAATGAATGCGATAGCAACAAATTACAATGTCACGCGAAAAAACAACAAGCCAAATCAAAACGTGCCCCGCATTGCTCACGCACAAATGATGTACAAAACATACTCACAGGTACAGATGAACGCAAGTAAGTGTGTCAGTTGTTACTTCGCTGTGTCTGAAAAACGCGCCTTTTTCGCAAACGAAGATTGTGCAGAGAATGCAGTGACCTTTATGCGCCTGGTAACTACAACAAAATCGTTCCAGTGAAAGCACAAATCGTACGATCCTTCCCGCCACGAGATAATCGCACACACGCGTGAGCGTCTTCCCCCTCCTCTCTCCGAGTGGGACATGAACGCGTGAGATGTGAACACTTGAGCACGGGTCCCCGCGTCGTGACGATCTGGCAATGCAAGCGACGCGCTAATTGCGCCATCTCTCTGCTAATGCTGAAAACTTGATAGTTACCCCGAGATCGGCATCGCCAGTGGGAAACAGTGGAAGTGGTATACATAAATAGTTTGCCGTTTCAGCATTGGTGAAAAAAAAACAATTTGCTCCTTCGTGGCTCCGTGGCTAACACCACGCACTCACAAGAAAGAGGTCGAACCTTCGATTTTGCGCGCCAGAGTTTTTTTTTATTGAAATATTTTTTTCTTTGCGTTTCCCAATGTAGAAAGTCGTATGTATATTCGGTGCCCAATGGCGCTTGCTTACGCCGGCGGTGAAATTGAGCCGAAAGTATTAATATATTCGCTTTCACAATAACAAAACAAAAAAATTGGCCCCTTGTCTGCATGTTACACTACAAATGCCATCGAAAGACGATAGTATTGTGTCTGGAGAGAAAGAACAAAACGTTTATTTGATGTTGTGCGCAAGAAAATCGGTGAACAAAACGTTTATTTGATGTTGTGCGCAAGAAAATCGGTGAATGGTATTCTGGAGGCGCTGCGTTAGAGTGCCTCGATCGTGCAGTGGAGGCAAACGAGCGCATCAACTCACGTCACACCTAGGCATGAGCGCTATCTGGCATTTATCTTAGAAAACGAAGCGCGCAGCGCGCACGCCTGTCTCAGAGGCGGTGAAATGTAAAGCGCACGGCGACGGGTGGCGCCACCAAAGTGTCGTCTTAGCAAGGCGTTGGAAAACTTGCCTTTTCTTGCAACCGTTACATTTTGAGCGCAGCGTGATAAATGCTGCGGTCCTTAGAATTACCGATGTAGGCAATTTCTATTATAAGGACACACATATAGAATATAGATGTGTTGTTATGGTGCCTCAGATATGAGCAACAATTGCTTTTCTAATGACAATTGCAAAGGTATGAACGCTACAACTTGAGCAATATTGGTGGCGCTGCGGATGGGGTCGGCCGCTTAGGGTATCACTTGGTGCTGTATGGGGTATTGTTACAGCAGACAAACAGACAAATTTACAGACAGATGGACCAAAATATCTGCGTCGTAAGTCCCCAAAAAGGAGCATCGTCTTTGAAATGTGCAAGGCCACCAAACACAGTGACACAATTTCGTGTCACTTTGATACCTGCTATTCTCTTTTATACCCGCCTCTGTTGATTCTGTTGGGTTCATTTAAACGTATGAGAATGAGAAATGTTCTGAAGTTGGAAGAACAACTCGATACTCTGCTGATAGTTGAAGGATGCGAAATTATGCATGAAATATATCGAGGAACCATGTTCAATACACAGCTCGATCAATGCTTATATGGAAAGCGGCTGCAGGCTCTTTTAAAAGCTCGTCCATGCGGTTCGATTTTGTTGTCCACTTGGCAGACTAGCATTGAAAATTCACCTGAATTTGAAATCTTCGCTTAGTAATCTAGAGTACAGAACAGATGAAATATAATAAGCGGTCTTCGCCAAGATCTTCTAGAGTAATTTCGGAATGAATAACCAGCATGCCAGTACTTTAAGTTCATATATTTGCTGAAAGCATAACATGCTAACGCGCAAACGAGGAACCTATTGCTCGGGTTATCATCTCTGCTTTCTATACTAATAGGAAATATATCAACGCTGCAGACACATTCTCGCAATTGCTATCAGGTGCTCTATGAAGTACAAATTGATAACTTCGTACCGCGCGCCTACGAGCAGTAGGTACTCTATCAGCAGAGCCCTATGGTTCACGTAAATCTAGAATCTTCGTGCTGTCAGTCCTCATGGTTTTCTGGAAACATTGGTACGCTAAACGCTTTTTTTAAAGCCTTGTATCTAAGGCAGCGTTGTTAGCGATAGCGTAAGAAACACCATTGAAAGTTCTACATGGTGCTTAAGCTGCTAATAACGTTGTCTTTATTGCCTATTGATATACAGATGAGTGAGGAGAGCAGCGAGAATTCACCTAAGGAGTCCCAAGAAGGTGATGCAGCAGGTGACACTGAGGAGTCATCTACAGCCACCGATGCCAGTGATTCTCTCACGACTGGACAAAACCTAGCCTCAGCAGTTGACCAGGCCCATTCCGTGAGCACCGTCGTAAGTCCAGATGAAAGGGAGGACACAGCAGCGCCCAAACGACTTCGCCGTCCACCAGTGGGCAGAGTGCGTTTCAACCTGAACAGCGAGAACCAGACTAGGATGATCACGTCTGGTAACAGCTCTGGTACGTTGAGCAGCGGAAGCATTCATCGTATGTCAGAGGAACCAAGTACACGGGAAGAAAGAATTAAGACGTTTAGTAAAAAGAAAGAATAGTCATGACAAGCTAGTTGTGCAAGTGCGGAAAAATTGCAGTTTTGAAAAATTATTACGAACACATATAGCCCTCATGCAATATGTGAAGTGAAACGGGCTTGTGGGTTGCGGTTACGAGGGTTGAATAATTCACACTTTATTACATTTTCACTAGAAGTGAATCGTACGCAGCCTGAAAAGCTTTCCGCACAGCGATTCGTAAATGGAATGACATTGTGATAAAGCTGTTTTGAATTTCTGCTTACATATCTTCGATGCACTGTGTAGCGGTGTATAAAAAACCATCCGCCGTGTGGTCCAACTAAACCGTAAAACAAACCATGCCCCCGAGATTCCGTCAGATCACTCCGAGTCATTAATCACTCAAGTTTCTAAATGGCTCTTAGAGATTGCAGATAGAGCGTACCTACGCGAGTCACAGATAGTAAAATGCCTATAAAGGCTGGTATGCGAACATGCTGCCGACCCTGCCAAGGCTGCCTTCTGGTTTCTAACACGCAAGAGAACCATGTGCACAACCCTTGTATAACGAATTCCCATTTTCCAACTGTGTTATATATTGGGGCTGGTTAGGGCTTTGCCACTGGCTGAAAACATCCACGCAACCATGAAGTGCTTAGCGCAGCACACACGTATATCAGGTTTATCGTCAGAATCATGAGTGTGTTGTTCGTTTTGTAGCTAATGAGTCGAACTCTCGAGTATCTTCTAGTGGGGTTACCCAAAAAGACGCCTCTCAGCAAATGCCTCCTCCCGGGCCACCACCTTGTCTCGGCGTCCTCAGGATCCGCGATTCACCCATCTTCACTGGTGCCAATGACACTGACGTGGAGAACTGGCTCGCCATTTACGACCACTTGAGAGTTCCCGACAAATGGGACGAGGACTGGCAAGTTCACCAACTTGGTGTTCTACCTTGCGGGCGTCGCCAGTTTGTGGTACAACTACACGTCTGATTTCGCTACCTGGTCCAATTTTAAGTCCGCTATCATCAACGTTTTTGGCCGTCCTACCGTTCTTAAGCTGCAAGCCGAGCAGCACCTAAGCGAACGCACTTAGCAAGCCGGTGAGTCATTCACCAGCTACATCGAAGAGGTCCTGGACTTGTGCAGGAAATACAACGACAGCGTGTCCGAATCTGACAAGATCCGGAACGTCATAATGATGATGCCTTCACGATGCTGCTCGCCGAAAATCGAGGCATAGTGGCGTAGGTTGTCACGCTGTGCCAGAGCTACGAGGAGCTCCGCCGGCAGCGTTCAATGACCCGTCGCCCCCACCACGAGATGCAGGGCTTGCTGGCTTGGAGGCGTGCTGTGGCCAGGTTTGCCCGCTGGCAGACCTCAAGTCCTTCATACGTGGCGAAATCATGCGCCAGTTCTCTCTCCTGCCCAACCACCGGCTGTTCAACAATAGGCCACAACCCTTCTTCCTCCCGTCCGCCGATCGATTGAGCAGGAAATAGCGGAGGTCATGCCTGCGTACCACCCACAACAACCTCCAGTCTCCTGCATCCCTAAGTTCTGCCCAAGTGGTCGCCAGACCACCTCCAGTCATTCCAGTGCCCACTCCGCTGACTTACGCCGAAGCTGCCACTCGACCTCCGTCCTTTGCAGTGGGAATGTCGGCTACGTATGCCGACGCGACCCTGCAGACTCAGCTCCAGTTCGCCCTGCAGCCTTTCCAGCCACCGTTTCCGTCCATCGGCTCTTACGACATGGATGAGACATACACCGGCGAACCTTTGGCGCACACCCGACAACCGGCCCACCTGCTTCGCCTGCGGTTACGCCGGCCACGTACCACGTTATCGCCCTCATGTACAGCCACCTCCCATCTCATCGCCTGTTGCTGGCCAGCTCAGCCGTCCCTATCAAGACGAACCGCCGTCTAAGCCAGTGCCAGCCTCACCTAGCTTCATCTCCTCGAAGGTCGCTGTCTCCACGACGTCATTCTCCGCCCTTCATGCAACCAAGTTCGGCAGCTCACGAGCGAGAAAACTGGTCGTTGCAGTCCCCGAGCCAAGGTACTGTGACGCTATTGCATTGCGAAAGCCCTCAGAGCAGCCCATCTAATGTCATTGACGTGCTTGTGGATGGTTTTCGTGCGTCCTGCTCTTATTGACACTGGAGGTGCAGTACCAGTTATGGACTAAAATCTTTGCCGCTTACTGCTAACAGTGACGACGCCGATTTCTGAGTAGTCTCTTCGTACAGCTAGTTCGCATCATATTCATCCTACAGCAGGGTCTACAGCTCACGATGTCGTTCAGGACGTTCAGTATCTCGCCCAGTTCATCATCATTCCTGGGATGGGATTTTCTCTCCCGCCACGATGCCATCATTCGTTGTGCCGTCGCCGAAATTGAACTCTCACCCTTCTCGCATTTGACGCCAGAAGACAGTCCCTCGACACGGAGCAAAATTTTCGTGAAAGACGATACAATAGTGCCTCCAAGCTAGGCGACGGCTTTTTCGGTATACTGCACCGGTCTATCTGACACCATTGTACTCGTTTTGCCATCCTACCGTGCTTGCGGTAGGAAAGGCTTGCTAGTACCATTCGCGACCCTACAAATCACCCACGGCGACGCCGCTATTTTTGTAAGCAACCCATCTCCGTGCGCTGTTACCTTGGTTCGAGGGGAATGTCTTGGCAGAGTGGTACCAGTCGACAACGCACAAGCCCTGGACGTACTGGATGACTCGCATTGTCCCAGTTTGTGTACCATCAGTGTTGTTTCCACTTCTGATCCATCATCTCATGATGTACTTGGCCCTTACATTGCTGACAACCTTACGCCGATAGAGCGTTCCTAGCTTCTGGACCTGTCGCAAGAATATCGTTCCTCTTTCGATGTCGGGCGAAGTTCTCTCGATCACGCGTCCACTGTTACGCATCAGCATCGACACTGGTAGCTCATCCACCATTACGGCAGCGTCCATGTCCGTGTCGTCTTCTGAACGTCGGGAAATTAACGAGCAGGTTGATGATCCTTGGTCACTTCGACACCAAAGCAGACACAGAAGTCCGCACTGACGCGAGCAACCTTGGCCTCGGAGCTATTCTCGTGCAATATCAAGATGGCGTAGAAAGCGTCATCGCCTACGCTATAGCCGCACGTTGTCATCTGCGGAGGAGAATTGCTCGACGACTGAAAACGAATGTCTAGTCGGTTGTATGAGCCATAACGAAATTGAGGCCCTACTTGTACGGACGCCCCTTCCGAATCGTCAGTGACCACTACTCTCTCTGCTGGCTAGCGAATCGGAATGATCCTTCGGGCCGTCTCGCAAGACAGAGCCTTCGGTTACGAGAATTCGGTATAACGATGGTTTACAAGTCTGGCCAGAAACACACCGACACTGACTGTCTTTCCCGCGCACCCTGTCGAGGTCACTAAAGAAGATAATGATGAAGACTTTAGCTGCCTTGCTATTCTCGCATCCTTAAACGTGGCTGAACAGCAACGCGAAGACTTAGAATTACAACCACTGATCGAATGCCTTGAGAAATGTCGCCCACAACCCCCACGTCAGTTCGCGCGTGAATCGTCATCTTTCTGTCTACGCCAAGGCATCCTCTACAAGCGCAACTTTCATTCAACGAAAACTGTTTACCTCCTCGTCGTTCCTGCTGCAATCCGCGATGATGTTTTGCGTGCTTGTCACGACGAGCCATCGTCAGGGCATCTTGGTTCGCGCGTACTCTGGCGCGGATCAAAGACAAATACTACTGGCGGAAACTTACGAAAACCGTCCGGCAGTATGTCAAGACATGCACAGCCTGTCAGCGCCGCAAAACGCCAACGACGAAAACAGCCTGTCTGCTTCAGCCTTTGCGACCCCTCACGCACCTTTTGAATAGGTCGGGATGGATTTACTCGGCCCATTTCTGAAGTCTACGGCTGGTAGCCACTAGATTGTGGTTGCCACCGACTACTTGACCAGATACTGCGAAACACAAGCCGCCCAGTGAGCAACTGCTTCCGAGGTGGCTGACGTTTTCATCAAAATCATCGTTCTCCGCCACGGTGCTCCCGCTGTCATCATCGCAGATCGTGGTACTGCATTTACGGCACAGTTGCTCCGACAGATTTTGTTGCTGAGCAGCACGACGCACCGAACAGCAACTGCGTAGCACCCGCAGACTAACGGGTTAACCGAACGCCTTAACAAAACGATTGCAGATATGCTTTCGATGTATCTCGCTGAGGATCAGAAGAATTGGGATGAAATCATCCCGTATATAACATTTGCCTACAATACGGCTTTGCAGGAAACCACGGGCTTTGTTCTTTTGTGTCTGGTTTACGGCCGCGACGTCACCACAATGCTTGACACCATGCTGCAACCAACTCTGCCGGACATTGATTACCCCGGACGCAGATGTATTTGTTCAGCGTGCCGAAGACGCCCGGCCTCTGGCGCGCTTTCGCATTTTATCGCAGCAAAATCACGATGCTCGCCGGTGCAACACCCACCACAGAGCAGTAATATACAAACCCAGTGACCTAGTCTGGGTTTAGACTCCTATACGTCAACGTGAACGCTCAGAAAAATTGTTATGTCGGTACTTTGGACCCTACCAAGTTCTTCATCCCCTCGGCAAAGTGAACTACGAAGTTGTCCCAGCAGACACGTCACACCGTTCTCGCAGACCACGCTCCTCGGATGTGGTTCACGTCTCCAGGATGAAGCCGTGCTATTCGCGTTGATTGCAAGTCAAGAAATTTGTGATGTGGCAATAGCCTTCAAGACAATTTCGCATTTCTTTGTTGCTTCTTTGTTTTTCATTTCGTCTTTTTTATTTTCAATGGACACAGACATTCCTGGCTACCTTTCGTTGTTTTTCGAAGCCGTGGCATTCATGCGATGCTTCTCCTATTTTCTCTTTGGGGAAAGGGTA